ACTATTGCAAAATTAGATGAAAAGACGCGAAGATGTTGGGGCCCTACGGCTGTCTGACTAGGAACCAGGCGGGCGTGGTGTAGCGAGGGGTGGGCGGGCGGATAGACTACGGCAAGCGGCTAGGTGCTGTCCGCCTTGTCTCGGGGGCACAGGAGGGTATGTGTGTGTGAGTGTGTGTGTGTGTGAGTGTGTGTGTGTGTGTGTATGTGTGTGTGTGTGTGTATGTGTGTGAGAGAGAGAGAGAGAGAGAGAGAGAAAGAGAGAGAGAATGACAGAAAGTAATGTAATGTGGTACGAGAAGTGCCTGGATGGAGATGGGGACTGTTTACAACCCCTAGCTTCACGGATTCTCGAGGGCAGAGTGAGGAATGCAGAGACTTGCTATATATACTGTGCACTTGATTGACCTGTCCTGTCCGATTTTGGCCGTTTCAAGTCGACGCGTACACCACTCTACTCCTGTTCGGAGATGGTATGCGGCTCCGGTGATCGTGCCTGGGGGCAGCCCACTTGTAATTTCGTGGTACACCATCCTCGTCCCGACTACGCAACGAGTTAGTCGCTGTTCCTGTGTACCGTTGTGGATAGTGAATCGTAGGCAAGTCCTGTATGCAGGTAGAACGAGCTCCCATCTGACAACTGGCTGCCAACTTGAATGAAGCTCCCTCTTGACGCCAGCTTCTTTGTCGCAACGCCCTAGCAATAGATGGCCACCACAATGAACACACGGCCTGTTGCGCAACAAAGAAAAGACTCTCCTATTCTGCTACCATAAATCTATTAGGTATTTTGTGCTTAGTAGGGGAAAGAGGGCCCCCCCCCAGTCTGTGAAGCAGGTAGATGGGTACTACTCCTAGGTTACACGCAACACAAGCACGTCGAGAGCAGCCGAGGGCAGTTCAGCCGGGTGGCCTTGTACTCTACTCGGCAAATTCCAACGAGGGACCTGGGGATCGGGTACGCGCCGAAGAGCATGCATGCATCACCCGTGTTCCTGGCCAGCAAGAGGACTAGGATTCGTTTGCAGGACCAGTCCAACTACGCCCATACTACTATACAGATACAGTATACAGGCTACTCGACCAGCCATGAATGCCCATCGTACTCTACCTACCCTATCCAACATGCACGCTGACGCCCACTGGCACTGCAAAGGTCAAAAGGCCCAGCTGCAAGATGGGTTAGCAGGACTGCCATGTGTCACCCTCTGCCGCATTCTGGCTTGTGCCTGTCGAGTCCGCTAAGCATGCCGTTTCCGTCTTCCAGTTGGCTTTGCTGGCCGGAGACCCCCCCTTGTTCCAACGCGACCGGCCACCGTCCACCTTCACTTCACTCGATCGACCGTCTCTAGTCCCATAGCTGCCACCATCTGCACCCTCTCTCTTCCTCTTCCGCTTCCTCTTCCTCTTCCTCCCCATACATGCCAGGAACACCGCGTCCAAGGGCAGGAAGATGGTCGCGCGCCGTACTGCTGTAAGAATATACCGACGCCACAGGATATCCTCCGGCCCACGGTAGCTCTCTGGCGCCCGGAGAAAGTGTTGCCAACCTCCAGCGACGCGTGCCAGTTTGCTTCGACGTGTTTACCGCCAGTCCAACCCGGCCAGCAATCAAATCCCACCAGTTCGCAACACCCACGACAGACCCCCACCGTCCAGAGAACAGAACTCAGACCTAGCATCCTCCTCTGGAGCACACACCCCTCCTTATACCAAGTCTGCACTTCCACCCGCGAATGGGGGCGGGCATTTTGAAATCACCAGCTACAAGGTGAGTAGGCCGAAAAAAATGTCTCCAATTCCCTTGTCCATCATCCCTGTCGCCTATCGCTGCAAAACGCCATCGCGAGTCTCTCCCCGTCTCTCTTGTCTCTTGTCTGCCCTCTCGAGTCGGTGTGCACGTGTCGACGACATCTATAGCTGGCCACTTTCACCTCGCAAAGGAAGGGAAAAAAGAAATGTTCCCGCAAACCTTGCAAACGCCCATCTTGTCCTCCCACCTGTTTCCGCCCCACCACCTTCCTATTCTCTTCGTTTGCTATTGTTCCAAACGGCTTCATTGCTGCGCGACCATTGTGGTGTTCTTGTCGCCTCGGTCTCCAATACTTCGTCCCTCCTCTCAACATTGCCTATACCAACACACATCTACACAACTTTCCCACCTTCCCATCTTCTCACTTTCCCTCCCATAACCACAAACTTATTCCTTTCCAGTACCCAAAGCACCATCTACTTCCTTGATTCAGATCATTCCACACACTACTCCACAACACTCTTCCACCCATTACCACCAATCGCCCGCTCTCCTCATGTCGCAGCTGGCCAGCTCGGGCGCGCCTACGCCCCGTCGCTCAGGACGTCTCAGTAACAAGGCCAGCTCGATTGCGGAAACGGCCGTTACCACCGTCACCAAAGCAGGCACCCGCGCTCGTCGTACAGGCCCTCTCATCGAAGTCAAGTCCCGCAAGTCCAATGCCTATGGTGCAAGTGGCCGTGTAGGGACCGCAGAAGAGCTGCCCGTCGCCGCCACCGGTTTCGCCCAGGCTTTCCAGAACCAGCGAGGCAACGCATTGGTAAGAGAGGGTCCAGTCGAGGAGAGCGAGGACGGTACTGACTCTGCTGATGAGCTTGCTGCCGAGACACCTCGCTTGAGCGGTGCTCGCAACGGCCATTTCCCTGCCTCCTCCCCTCCCCGTTCCCCTACTCCTACTGCCGGCACGGCCGCCACTTCAGTGCCAGGCTTCTCTTTCCTCCAGAGCGAAGACACTCCGGCCAGCGAAGAGGATGACGCAGAGTCAGTCGGCAACACTTCCAAGTCCTTCGGGCCCCTCCATGAGGCTGGTATGATCGGCCAACAAGATCGCCCTCACATGCCCTACTCCTCCACGCAAGCCACTCCGGAGCCCACTCCCCTCGTTCAAAAGACAAACTTGCGCCGTAGCCTCCAGTCACAGACAACAAGGATGGGTGCCTCTCAGATCAAGGTCCCCCTTCAGGAACAAGGCGCACCCCCTCTCCGACCTAGCTATTTGCAGACCCCTGCGCCTGGCCGCGAGAATGGAACCCTCGCCGCCAGTGCAGCAGCCAGTGCAGCACACAAGAAAGCGATAGACGAGTCGGTTGACGCTTTGCTAGCCAAAGAGCAAGCCCGTCTTCACCGAGATGGTGCCCCGCAGTCACAGCCAAAGTATCAAGGTCGTCGTCGCCATGCCAATAGCCCGAAGACGGTCAATGAGCAGCCCGGTGAGGTCGAGTCGCCCCAGAAGTTTCAGATCGATTGGCCTCTGAAGAAGCATCTCTCTTGGGTTTTGGGAGTGCTGGCAGCGATCACGCTCGTAGGCTGGCTTGGTCACTCCATGATGTCCTCTGTTGCCTCTGCATCCGACGCAAACACCACCAACAACAAGCCCGGACTCCTTTCTGCTGTCAATGCACGTGCCAGCTATACCATGGGCAAAGTGGCAGAGTTCATTCAGCCACCCCGTGGTCCTACCGTCGAAGAGGAAGTCGCTGCCTTCAGGGCTGGTGATGATAACATCATGTGGCACCGCATGTACAAGATGAGCGACAAGTTTGAGACTCGCATCAACGGTGTCCACGCCACTATTGAGGAGCTCCGAAAAGAGCTGCCCGATATGCTCATTGTCCGACGTCACGAAGATGGCCGATCCGAAATCTCCGACGACTTCTGGCAGGCGCTTCAGGCCAAACTACGATCCGAAGAAGAGAATCCGGAGTGGGTCCAGTACCTAACACAGGTCAAGCAGAAGCTTGACGACATCTTCGACCACTCCGTGGACCGTGACGACACAAAGGTCAGGCCACAGGCTGTCTCACGGCAAGAGTTCCTTGAACTCATTGACCAACGTTTTCGCGAACTCTCCACGCGGGTGAACGAGAACATTGAAGAAGCATTCAAGAGCCAGACTGAGAAATTTCAGAGTCTGGTGACTGCAGAAGCCAAAAAGGCGATGATCGAAAGCGTCCGCCTGCAATCGCTCGCGCAAACCAACCTCGTCGCAAACTACGAACTCCACCTGAAGTCGCCTAATTACTTTTCTCCCAGCCTGGGTGCCGTAGTCGTGCCCCACCTCACCTCTGCAACCCGGCTCGATCGCGCACGTTGGTTCACCACGATCGCCCAAAAGTTGGCACTACTTCCACAGCGCAATCCACCACAAGCAGCGCTCACCGAATGGAGACAGCCCGGCGACTGCTGGTGCTCGGCTCCTAACGTCCTGGGGGGCGCCCAGACACAGCTCACTGTGTCGCTCGCACTGCCTATGACGCCGCAAAAGGTGACCATAGAGCATGTGCCCATGAGCATGGTGCCCGCCCGGGACGTTAGCAACGCGCCGCGGGACGTCGAGATTTGGGTGCAGACGGAAAAACCCGTCAAATCCTACTACAGGTACTCCGGGGGCACATGCGGCGAGGGCCTGCCAGGCTGGGCGTGCTTGGGCGCGTTCAAGTACAACATCCACGCGTCCAACCACGTCCAGACCTTTGACCTCGTCTCCGAAACCTCGGAGCCCATCAAGCGGGCCATGCTCCGCGTCAAGAGCAACTGGGGCGCCGACCACACGTGCCTGTACCAGGTGCGTCTGCACGGCGAGGACGCCAGGGCAGATTACGAGTACCAGGTGCGCCTGAATGACTAGTTGGGGGATCTGGTCCTACCCAGGGCGGTTGTCCTTGTTTGTTCTTGTCTTTTTTGTTTTTTTTTGTTTTTCTTGAAAAGGCATCTTGCCAGGCGTTATCGGGGACGGACAGTGTTGGGACGCGCCTTTTTATACCCTCGAGATGGTGCCACTTCTTCCTCACTTTTCCTGTCCGCATGATGATAGAGATGATGCCTGCCATGCTTGACATGAGTTGTATACCCAGAACAGCCACGTAGTACGAAAAATAATTCCACCATGAAATAGAATTTGTTGTGATTTGATTGTTTCATGTTCGTTGTCTGTCATGCGTTGGTCTATGGTGAACCTACCGAGTTATTGTACATGTCCCTTGGGCAAGGGCACCAAGTAATGATGGATGGAAACGATGTTGCAGAGTCAGGAGCATTGTACTGAGATTACATTCACTGTTTTCCAAATTTTCAGAGTTTCAAATTCAGGACCACAAAGGTCCAGCCCAAGAGTGTCGATACTGCCTGCGGTCATGATGTCTCTACTAGCAACGACACATGCACGGGCACGGGCCACCACTCAAGTTCCCAATCGGGACCGCGCGACCGCGTTTTCGCGTGTTTACAGGCCCCCGCGTCGAAACCTCCAACTTCAGGTGCTTGTTTGGCCTCGTACAGCATCGCATCTTGTAAGGATTCAAATTACATCATGTCTTCCCTTTTAGATGCGGTACTCAACTCGGACGCCGCTCCCACTCCTTCGAGCGACCCCGGCAACGCAAGACGACCCCAACAGATTCGCTCTTCATCTGCGAGACCCCGCGGCCCTCCCTCTACCCCCGGCGCCTACAGCGATATCGAGGCTAATCAAGAGGATGCTGTTCCAAACAGACTGCCTGGAAGACGGGCGAATCAGCCCCGCACAGATATTCCCAAGGTGGTGGACGTCACAGGCGAAACGCTCTCCTTGCGATTTCAAGAATTCCTCGAGAAGTGAGTTTAAAGAGGCCTGATGTCTTTGGACGACGCTGATTGCAGGACAGCTACACAGAAGACCCCTCCTCATCGGCTTTGCCCACATCAAGCGCCCTTCCTACCACCGATAAGTACTATATTGCCCAAGTACGGGGTATGAGGCTCTATGGCCTGTCCACTCTATACGTAGACTACACACATCTTCTCCGCCATGAAGATGGGATCCTCGCGGCTGCCATTGCCAGCGAATACTACCGCTTTTTGCCATACATGGTCCGCGCCCTACACAACCTCATCGCAAAGTATGAGCCCAAATACTTTCGCCAGCACAAACAGCCCGCCTCGACAGCCTCGGCTGCGGGTACTTCAGAAGCCAATGCAACAAGCCAAAACGACAGTCTCAATGAGAAGACATCAAATCAGCAGACAGATAAGCTCTTTACATTGGCTTTTTACAATCTACCCCTTGTCTCACGCATTCGCCAATTACGCACCACATCCATTGGCAGCTTGCTATCCATATCTGGTACCGTGACTCGGACGTCGGAAGTCCGACCGGAATTGTCAATGGCAACCTTTGTGTGCGAAATCTGCAACACTGTATTGCCGAATATCGAGCAGACGTTCAAATACACGGAGCCAACGCAGTGTCCCAATGCAACCTGCATGAATAGGGAAGGATGGAGACTTGACATCAGACAGTCGACTTTTGTTGATTGGCAAAAGGTGCGGATTCAGGAGAACAGCTCGGAGATCCCGACGGGTAGCATGCCCAGAACAATGGACGTCATCTTGCGGGGAGAAATGGTCGATCGCGCAAAGGCTGGGGAGAAGTGTATCTTCACGGGTACCGTGATTGTCATTCCTGATGTTAGTCAGTTCCGTGTGCCGGGTGTGCGGCCACAGGCTATGCGGGATACATCAAACGCCACGCGTGGCAACGATGTGGGAGGCTCGGGTGTCAGTGGTCTCAAAGCACTTGGTGTTCGCGATCTCACCTACCGAATGTCCTTTCTCGCATGCATGGTCTCCCCTGATCATTCCACTCCGGGACAGTCTTCGAACCATCACCTGAACGGCCAAGCTGGTAACATTCTTGCCTCTCTTGGACAAGGCCAAATCGAGTCCAATGCAACAAGCGGCGAAGAGGCCCAGGAAGAGTATCTGGGCACGCTCACCGCGGCGGAAATCCAAGATTTGAAAGACATGGTGCACAAGCCAAATATCTTCATGCGACTGGTCGACTCGATAGCGCCTACTGTCTATGGTCACCAGGTCATTAAAAAGGGTCTTTTACTTCAGCTTATGGGCGGTGTGTCAAAAGAGACTCAAGAAGGCATGTCGTTGCGTGGTGACATCAACATTTGTATTGTCGGCGACCCTTCCACGTCCAAGTCACAGTTCTTAAAGTACATTTGCAGTTTTTTGCCTCGCGCAGTTTACACATCTGGTAAGGCGTCTTCGGCTGCTGGTCTTACAGCGGCTGTCGTCAAAGATGAGGAGACTGGAGAGTTCACCATCGAGGCTGGAGCGCTCATGCTGGCTGACAATGGAATCTGCGCCATTGACGAGTTCGACAAGATGGACATTGCCGATCAGGTTGCCATTCACGAAGCCATGGAACAGCAGACCATCTCCATCGCAAAGGCCGGTATCCAAGCCACGCTCAACGCCCGTACCTCGATCCTCGCCGCCGCCAACCCTGTCGGTGGCCGGTACAACCGCAAGACCACGCTCCGCGCCAACGTCAACATGTCCGCGCCCATCATGTCCCGCTTCGACCTCTTCTTCGTCGTCCTAGACGAGTGCGACGAATCCGTCGACCGCCACCTAGCCGAGCACATTGTCGGCCTCCACCAACACCGCGACGAAGCCATTGACCCGGAATTCAACACGGAGCAACTCCAACGCTACATCCGCTTCGCCCGCACCTTTCGCCCCGAATTCACAGACGAGGCGCGCGTGACGCTCGTGGAGAAGTACAAGGAACTCCGCGCCGACGACGCCCAGGGCGGCATCGGCCGCAATAGTTACCGCATCACCGTTCGCCAACTCGAGAGCATGATTCGCCTGTCTGAGGCTATTGCAAAGGCTAATTGCGTCACCGATATCACACCAGACTTTGTCCGCGAGGCTTACAATCTCCTTCGCCAATCCATCATCTCCGTCGAAAAAGACGACGTCGAAGTCGAAGACGACGACGACGAAGAAGCCGCTCTCCTTGCCGCCGCCGCGGCTGCAGAAGCCCAAAATGCTGACGCTGATGCCCCCATGGCAGACGACCAGCACGATCCTGCTGCTGCTTCTGCAACCAGAGAAGCCTCCGCCCCGCCGCCCCGCGAAAAAACCAAAATCACACACGACAAGTACGTTGCCATGCGCAACCTGTTTGTCAAGCGCGTCAATGCCGATCAAGAGGAGACGCAGGACGGCGTGGACGAGGAAGAGCTGCTGGTTTGGTATCTCGAGCAAAAGGAGGGCGAGATGGAGACGCAGGAGGATTTTGAGCGTGAGCGGGCGTTGGCGAGGAAGGTGTTGCGGAAGGTTGTTAAGGTGGGTTTTGGAGTTTTTTCTTTTATTTTTTTTTGGTTCTGCGTTTTCTTTTGGCTTTGGCTCTGGCTTTTTGCCGTCTCTTGTCCCGTTTTGTTCGTTTCACACACGATATACCCGCTAACTCACATGTGTCTCGTAGGAACAATATCTCATGCTTATTCGCGGCGAAGGGCTTGCAGACGAGGCTGGCGACACCCAGGGCCAGGCCAAGGCGGTGTACGTACTCCATCCGAACTGTCCGGTTGAGGATCTTGTGTAGATTTGGGGGGATGGGTGGGGTGTGATGGGGGATGGGGGGCAGAGAGGGAAAGGGCTACATCTCACTTGTAGAAATAGAGTGGAGATCAAGTATACAAGTGTGATGGTGAGACGGCGAGACGGCGAGACGGTAGATGAAAAATGTCAAAACAGGAAGCACGAACTAGTAAACCGGAAATCCCACCCAAACCCAGAATCCAGACCCCCCGCAATCTACAATCCTTGCCCCTACCAAACCAACCAAACACCAAAACACCAAACACCACCAGTCTACAAAGAAACAGCATCACCACACCACCAACCTACCAACTAGTTTACATTATTTATCCCGGCTAGAAATTAAGCCTTGGGTGTGAGATGAGCTCAAGGGCATGGGGGATTTTAAGATTGGGTGTTGCTGTTGATATGGTAGCACAGCACATCACAGCACAGCACATCACATCACCGCACATCACAGCACATCACCCCCCATCACTCCCCCAAACACAACAAGCCGTATCAGACCATATCAAGCCACATCTAGCTTCAATAACTACTACACCGCTAAACCCCCCACGTACTAAACCACAAACCACACATCCAGCGCTGCCTGCACAAGCCTCAACCTGCACTGCGCTTCGTAAAAACGGCGCGCGCTTTGGCTTGTGGTAATAGGGGGGGGGGGGGGTGGGGCGTGATAAAGGGTATCTTGAGCGCGATTTCATACCGGAAACGCCACTGATTTTGTAAGAGAAGAGAAGAGAAGAGAAGAGAAAAACAAGGGAGAGGGGGTAAAGGAAAAAAAACCCCACCCCCCCTCCATCCACCATCCCTAAAGAACCACAACTCCTACTCCGACTCCCCATCCCCACCCGGCGACCTCCCACTCCTCTTCTTACTCTTCGCCCCCGCCGGCCGCCCCCGCGCCTTCTTAGGCGTATTATGCAAACTCGCGCTATTCTTCCTCTTGCGCCCTCTCCCGCTCGGCGGGGCCGTGCCCGCATCACCATCATCCTCTGCATCGGCAGAAGGAGTCTCGTAGCCATCACCAAGACCGAGATCCTCGACGTCTTCGTCGCCAATCTTGGCCTCGCGATCGACCTCGAGGAGGTCGGCAAAGTCGTAGCATTGTTTGATCATGGAGTCGCGGGTGTCGAGGGCGGTCAGGAGGGTGGAGAGGCGCTCCCAGAGTTCTTTGCCGGAGACGAGGTTGTTGCGTTTGGCTTCTTTGATGAGGTCTTTTTGGGGGATGCGGCCTGTGAGCTTTTGGAGGTTGTAGCAGCGTCGCACAAAGTTGCGGGTTTCCCAGATCATTTGCAGAATCATGCATGCCACTGTTATCTGGCGAAGGCGGGTGTCGCTGATGGCTGGGGGTGCGAGCTGGGAGGACGGAGGTGCAGGGTCGGGAAGTGGCATTGGCGCCAGGAAGCCGTTTCCGTCCTGCATCTGCTCGTCGTGTAAATCTTGCGTCGGAGGTTGCTGCAATGATATAAACTGTTTTGGCATCTCGGTCTCAATAGCGAGAGCTACAACAGGCCCTGTTGTCTTGAAGACAATCGCTTCAATCGCAACGAGAAAGACCGAGAGAACATCCATAGACTGGAAATCCAGCATTGCGAGATTCTCCAGACAGAAGCGAGCGAAAAGAAGAGCTTCAGGCAAGTTTCCGCTAGCGTCCAGCCTAGAAAAGTCGAAATCGACTTGTTTACAGAAATTTGTGACGAATTTCTTGAAAGTCGCTTTGGCACCGGCTTTCAGCGCGTCGAAAAGCTTTGATAGCTTAGCACTGTACGTGACCTCAAGCATGCCGCGGGGGTCGTCGAAGACGTCGCGCTGATACTGGAAGGTCATGCGGATGGCCTGCATATACTCCTTTTCAAGGTAGGACTCCTGTTTCTCATGTATGCGTCTATGTTCCGTGGCAGCCAAGTCGGCAATCTTCTTGTTCCTCGAAGTTGACAATGCGACCAGGGCAGCACCGCACTCCTTGGGATGAACCAGTCCCTGTCGACTGATACTAGCAACAACGCTGGCAGCGAGTTCTGCGAGTTCGTTATTCGTCTTCAGCGCGGTGTCCACAAAATTTGACAAGAAGTTCTGGGCCAAGTGGAGTGTCGCAGAGTCATTCTCATTCGCAACAAAGGACGTTTCTAACCGTGCAGAGCCTGTTGCAGCTCCCTTGCCAATTGCAATCTGCGCACCGCTTTCGGAACGTCGCTCTGCGAAGGTGAAGTAGTCCCTGAAGAATGATAACGCGATTCGTTTCAAGCTGTCGGTGTCTTCATTGATAAAGATGAGTTTGACCACTTTCTCAACTTCTGCGCGCATGAATAGCTCAGGTGACTGTTGGCAGACACCACCCAAACTCCACAAGGCATGTTCCCGAATCGTAGCATCCCACTGCTGCATGGTAAAGGGCCGAACAGTGTCCAGGAGAAGGCGTGATGGCGGTATCTTGCTTTTGAGGAACGGTTCCATTTGCTTTTCCGTGAACGTCTTGTTATGGACATGCTTTCGCGCTTCCAAACCCAGTTTCTCCCAGAATGTGTCGGCATATTGGTTGAAATTGCAGACTTTACCAAACGTACCCAGCAGAATCAAATATGTCGGGATCCTGTTACCCAGTGCAGCATTCTGGTCTTTAGTCCACGTTTGAAGTGGCCGTAGTTGGCAGAGAACAGAGGCTACAGGAATAGCAATCTTCTCGACTCCTAAGCCTGGCATTGTACTAATCGTCCACAAGCAATGCACAACGTCCTCTAGTGTATTCTTCATGTCAGGATGGGTAGCTGCATGTTTCGCAAATTTCGAGATGTTCCGCAGCAGGGTGATTCGCACCTCTTCTGCGAATGCATGCTGCGTCACTGGAAGGGATGGCAAAGTATGCCGGAGAACAATGACGGTGGGCTGCACCAGATCAATCTCCTCGGTAGTAGTAGCGTCCTTGATATAAAGCTTCAATAGTTGAATCTGCTCTGTTGTAAAAAGCTTGGCTTTTGCTTTGGCGAATAGGCTCAGCGTGTGCATGATGCGAGCTTGCGAGCCCTTCTTTGCTTGAGATTCAGGGCTAATGATCCCGTCCACCAAATCGGTAACAAGCTCCTTACAAAGTCGCAAGTTCGCGGCAGGGTTTTTGGACTCGGGTGATAATGCGTAAACTAGGAACTTTTCAAAGGCTTCTAAATATGCCGCGGAAGGCAAACCACGCAGGTGCGTAATTATGTCCACCATAAAGTTGGCCCTTTCGACACGATGAAGTTTGATTTTGCTGTCGTCTGTAATAGCATTGACATCGGCATTTGTAAACCAGATCTCCTCTAGAATATTCCGACTCAGCTCAGAAATGATTTTCTCCGTATCTTGAGATGGCGGAAGCAATGCTGCTGCGAGCTTCAACTTGTTGGCCTTGGCAGTAGGCCCAAGGTAAATGTCTTTTGCGAGTTTAATGGCTCTCTTTCGCGGGGCAGGTTTGTCATCTGTCGTCATGGTGAGAACAGCGGGTAGGACATGACGTTCAAGCGATGGGTCCAGCTCCACGCATCTTGCTATCAGCTTGAGGGTGCTGTCGCGCACCGACGGTGAACTATCCCTCAATGAAGGAAGCATGCCTAGCACTGTATGCTCGTCAATAACGCGAGGATCTTTTTCAATGAGTTGCTCTAAACCTGTGAAGCCTTTTGTGCGCAACCTTGGAAAATCTTTGTCCCTGGTGAACATCACCATATGCGTGATGATATGTGGGAGATATCTGCAAACGTCACTCTGGAGCGTGATGATGCCCGCAGCAAGCTTGCTCTCAGTATCGGACACAGAGTCAAAATGACTAAAGCTCAGAGTGAGTAGAAGTAATCTTTGTTGTAGGTTAGATACTTACTATTTCCGGGATAACCACTTGGGATCCATTATCATAGACTCTAAATTGCTTTGCACATCCTTGATGGCCTGAGGGCGCTGGTCTTCGTCTTGCTGCGGAAAGGCTTGGTTGATGGCGGAAAGCCAAGAGCTGATATGGCAACCGCTTACGGAACGGAGGTGTGGATCGTCGGGGCTTGTTTTCAGATCCAGGTAGTCGCCCAGAGACTCGATAACTATTCGATACGGCCCACCGAATGCAAGCAGGTCTACATCATTGACTCTCTCTCTAACATCCTCACTGATTGCATCGTCTACGAGACGATCCAATCTTGAGGACAAATTAGATTGTGAGATGTCCAGTTTTCTTTTCGATTCTCTCAAAGACTGCTTGAAGTCGATGATGCCACAGCCAATTCTAGCCATCGTAGCAAGTGCCATGTCCTTGTCGTTCACACTTGACTGATTGCCCTGCAACAGACCCTGCATCTGACCGAGCAGACTTTTGAGAAGTAAGGCTGCCGCTGGCCACTCAGGAGACCCGAAGACATTGCAGAAATCGTCTACGAATAGATCCAGTAGATTTCGGAAAGGCTTGTCGCCTGTCTTCGAAACACCTTTGGCTCGGGCTACGAGTGACATTACGATATGAGCAGCGATTTGAGATGCGTTTACCACAAGGTCGTGAGCTATTTGCACCGCTCTACTGCCTGAATTACGCTTATGGGGCCGGCTCAATGTTGTGCCCGGCTCGTAGTCACTGCAATCGTCGTCGTGCGTCTCTTGTGCCACGGACTCTGTCGATACCGAAACCTTTCGGTTGGTCGCAGAAACATGCACAAACCGCATGAAGGATGCAGAGATCGTCATAATCGGGACCTCGTGCACTGATTGAAATTGCCTGGCGCTGGCCTTCTTGTGCGGCAATTTCTCTAGATTGCTCATAATTCCATTCAGGATCGACTGTCGCTGCTCTGCGTGCTGAGCGAATATCTGCGCCAACACATCCATTGCACGCTGCCGGAATCGCTCAAATCTTGGAATGCCGAATACGGAGTCTCGCTCAGACTCGCTGTTTTGTTCAACAAGGAGCTCCAAATTCAGATACTCAAGAGTGTTTCTTGCTCGATCCGGCAAGTTATACTTGCCAATGAGGGTTGCAAATCGGCCAAGGACACTTCCACACAGCCGCAGTATAGCCTGCAGTTGCTTCTTTTCTGACCATGCCGCAGTGAAGAGATCCTTGGCTTCGCCCGTTCTGTGAGCTCGCACAATTGGCGTAATACAGGTGTCTTTAACAAGCTTTATCAAGTCGATGATGACATCGATAGTCTCTTCCCGCCGCAATCGATAATCATCGCGTCCCTCTATCATCATATCCAGTATGAGCCTGCCAGCCTTGAGGGAAGTCTCGGCAGTTTTGATGCTCCGGGTTAGTTCCACCGCGTCGTCGTCTTGTGAAAATAACCCATTTTTTAAAGTGGAGATGATTGTCGGGTGCGTGAGAGATTGTATCTGCATCACAAGATCCACAGGGAGGGCTGTAAGGCGACCAAGATTGACGACACTGGTGACCTGAGAAGTGAGCGACTCCATTGATCGGTTGTTGAGCACCTTGAAATCGCCTTCAGGTGTAGAGACTGCGACAAAATGAGCTGAACCGTCAACATCGTCTCGGTCGTCTTCGAGCGACATAACTAGATTTTCAAGTTCTTCGATCTTCCTATCGGCGATTTCGCGTTCGTGTGGACGAAGAGCATTGGCGCCGCTTTCTTTTGAATGATCGTCCTGTTTCTTTTGCGACAAATTCTCAGAGGTAGTGATGGTATCATAGCGTGTGTAGTCATCGCGTAGAACATGTTTGGGCTTGATAACTACGGCGGGTCCCACGGGTCGAGCGGAGGTATTACTGGGAGCAGAGGATACGGCACTAGAGGGGAAGGGGAGGTTCCCATTCTGCGAGAATGTCTGATGGTTCGGAGTCGCAGGCTGCAGCTGCGGTGCTGTGTGAGGCTGCGGTGAAGGGGAAACGTGCTTGACCGACGCTTGGGCTTTGAGAGGCCGGTGGGGCGATCTGATGTCCGACGCTGCTTCGGTTAGTTGGCAGCACGCATGGGGAACAAAGAGACGTACAAGTAAAGCTCACATTCGTCTGTCTCAGGAGCATGCTGGCAAACGGACTCAACTTTGGGGCGTTATTTGAAGCCGAGCCATCAGTTCCCTTGCGCGGACTATCCGGTGGAGGGGTTGCGGTTTGAGGCATTGGTTTGAAGTTGCTGAGGCTTGTCAGTTCCGTTTGCAGTCATTGAAGCAAGGTCCGCTCACTACTCCGGCAACTTTTCACGATCCAGCAATTCACGCAGCTGCTGCAGTGTATCGTGCAGGTGCTGAGCAGTGGACTGGCCGCGGATTTCGTCGTTTAGAATGGAGACTGCCTTCTTCGCATCGTTGCGTTGACTTGGAGAGAGGGTGGAAGGAGGAGTGGGCGGCTCAGCGCTTGGGAAGGGGATGATATCTGCCAGTTTTCAGTCTTTGCCCCGGTTCAGGTGAGAGAGGGTAGCCAGGGTGTGGTCTGTAGGTGATGGTAAGTGACTGACCTGGTGAGAAGGGGATGATCGAGGTAAAGGGCGAGTATGGGAGGGCTTCGTCCACGGTCGGTGGGCGGCGATACGGCAGCCCGCCTCCATTGGCATTGTGCCAGTTCCCATTCTGGATGTCGGTCATGGTCTGCAAGTGGTGGAGGTGACAAACAAATGGGATGTGGGAGAGAAGGCTATAGCGACGTGGGTGGTGTTTGCTCTGGAGGAGCTGAGAGGACTGTCCGAGTGCTATGGGGACAGCGCATGTTCGTGCAGGCAACCCATCAATTATATTTGGCAATTCACTCAAGTGTTGCTTGTAGTGCTACATATCACTATGTGCCTGGCAGAAGATGCTCGTCGTGGTGTCACAGCCATGGGCTGTCATAATTCTGTCGCGTCTGACCGCCTGCCGTGCCTGCTTAGCGGCAACCGCGGGAGTGCAGTGCTCTCCGCAATTTGATAATCGTAAAGCCCTAGTAACTTTTTTCTCTCTCCCATGGTATAGCTCACCACCATGTCTGCAATCGGCTCCCTCGTCTTCTGCACCGACTGCGGTAACTTGTTGGACGGAAGTGCTGGCAAGAAAAATGCCATCTTGACTTGCGCAATTTGTGGCGCGTCCTGCAAAGGTATACTGGCACCCCAGTCATCATGATTATATAACTCACGGAATGAACCCTAATGTGCGAATGCTAGATACATCTTCGAAGACAGTTGTGACGCAGTCTAAGCCCACAGCATTTCCATCAGCTCTCCGCGCTAAGCGATCTGAGGTTCAAGTTATTGTGGAAGGAGACATTCAGACCACCAGCGAGATCGATCATCCTTGCGACGAGTGTGGTCGACCAAAAGTTCGTTACTACACACAGCAACTTCGAAGCGCCGATGAAGGCTCGACGGTGTTTTACGAGTGCGAATGTGGTCACAAGTACGTATATGCCAGGCATATGAGATCGTATCATTGCTAATATAATTCTATAGGTGGAACATCAATAACTGAGCCAAGCATGCCGACTTTTGCCTCGGAGATATGTCCCTTGTAATGAAAACCAAACGCCGTGTACATGCATAGTCCTCGAGCCGTCTAGGCTGAAATAGCCGGTGCTTGCGGCACAATGGCGTACTCCACTTCCCCGTTCTTCTCGAATTCAGCCATGTCCAGCGCAACGACAACACTATCTCGAACTACCTGCTCGGGATCATCCAAAAATTTGCGCAATGTGTCTTCGACGCCCTCCTCGTCTCCCAGGCTTCCAAGCGCCTCTGCGGCTTCATGTCGGACCATGCTTGCCTCATTTGTGTTGCTAAGCGCCTCCGTTAGGCTGGGAATGGATGCTGGATGGGACAGTTGTCCAAAGACAAAGGCGATCTCATGGCGGAAGAGTGCCGACGGGTCGTTGAAACCACGTGCGAGAGCATGGACAGCGGGGACCGCAGTGGGTAGGTCTGGAGGAGAGGAAAGATCGCGCAGTGCGAACATGGCCCGATATCGTTGGAACAAGGGTAGTGAGGTATCCAGGAGTGTCTTCTCCAACTCTGCAATCGAAGGCTTTTCAGTACTCTGCGGGAGTGGCGGCGCGGGGTCGATTGATGTAAAATCACTGGTACACATTAGTAGTGATCCAAAAGCGCTCAAGAGTGAAATGGCATACCTCGTCTTTAGTTTCTCCTGATCCTTTTGTAGACCATGCTCCCACTCGATGCGATCCACGGCGATGTCGCATGTCTCTCTCACAACGTCCACCTCCTTTACATCGTCTCTCAGCTCCTTCAACAGATTCAGACTGCCTTTATCTCCCAAGGCAGCCAGGGCCTCGGCGGCTTCATGCCTGCACATTGAATCCTCCTCTTTGTCCTCCAAAACGCCCCTCAGAGGAGCAATAGCAGCATCGTGGCGTGATTGTCCAAGACAGTAGGCGAGTTCGTGCTTCAATAATGCCGAGGGTGATCCAAAGGCAGCAGCGATGGCCTCGATAGCGGGGACTGATTGAGAGTTTGGCGGCTGCAGCGAGGCGAGATGCTTCAGAGAGAACAAGGCGCGAAAACGACGTGCGAGGGGCTCCTTCTCCGAGACCAGAATCTGCCGGAGCGCGGGGACCTGAGTGTCTTCTTCTGTGACTGCCATGTTGAAGTAGATAAGTGCTGTAATGTGCAAGTGAACTCTTGAGTAACCTTTATTAAAATTTTGAGATGGGCGGGTCAAAATCGAGACATAGGCGGGGCGGGGAAATGATCTGTGGAGGGGCGGAGATGATCAGATAAGATCAGTGCAGAGTGAGTGGAGATGCCCAGCTAACCCAATATAATACTAGCGTACCAGCCACGTACATTCACCAGGGTTCAGACGCCTTGTCAACAATGGCTTTCGCTTTGTGTCACCGCTGGCCTTTGACACTCGTTCACCACTCAAAGAACTTGGACTTCGACACAACGCCCTTGTGTGCGCACGCCTGAATAAGGGAGCGGCCAAGTCTGGCGCAGCTTTCACATTCACGACGACAAGTTCACACCTGCCTCCCCAACATCACACTGGAGAAAACCCCTTAAGCGCGCAAGTACGATCATTCACAACACGACCAACGCAGCGCATACCGGATACGCGCATATACTCGAACCGCTTGAACAGGCACCGTCGCATACCATGACGATCTTTGGTAGTGTCTCGGAAGGCATCAATCGCGTCTGGAAATATGTGAGTCCGCAAAAGACGCAGCAACGGCGCGAGAAGCCCTACGGAGTCAAAGTCCCTGAACTTCCCGCCCATACAAGAAACCTGCCCAAACGCAAGACTGCTACACCAAAGACAATTGAAGAGCGACACCAGTCACAGATCGAGCAATGGGCGCCCAGATCACCGAGTATCGGAAGCGATGTCGATGCGACTTTGCTTCCGCCTTCGCCGCCAACCTCTGCGCTTCACTTCCACAACGAATATGAGGGCGATACATTACTCTCTGGATCATTTGGCTCGCCAAATGGAGTCAAGGACGGTTCTTCAGAGAACGAGTGGAACGCTAACGAAGACACCATGGTAGTCGATGATGGAGCTTACATGGACTACTCAAAAAATATCGATCTGGGCGAAGAGCGAGACCGGCGCGCCAAGCAGGCTCGCGAGCTGAGAGAGGCGGGCTGGACGGAAGATGCAGTCTTCTTGTTTCAGAAACTTGGAATGCGTGGCTTCGAGCCGATCTTACCCATGGACTGGATCAATGATTTCGAAACCTTGCCTCAAGTCCTCTTCACCGCCAACATCGACAAGGCCTTTATTAGACCTGCGCAGGGATCAGATTATCATGGTACGTACGAACGAACTGATACACTTGAAGATTCTAACATCGCTTCAGCTCAACGTGCGCTAAGCAGCCTCTTTGATCTCGGCGGACGCGTGCGTGATGCATGGCTCACTCGAGCGCGCTTTCGTACACCAGCCTACCATATTGGCCGCGCGGTTGAAAAGTTCGCTCGTTGGGCAATGAAAGATGGTAGTGTGGACCACATCTGGCCCGAACTTCCACTTTTCGAGACGGTCACATTTGGCCTGGAGGTAGATTCAGCCGTAGGAGAACGCGAGATGCTCCGCAAGCTAGGCCAGCTCCACGAAGAGTGGTCCTGCGCTCTGCACACTGAGACTGCTGGTAGCCGCTTGTCACCTACTGGTCCTGAAGTCCCTACCTTGTACGCAATCACAGCGTCCCACACTGTTATGGCGTTTTCCAGCTACGCCCCGCCATCAGAGGAGAATGAGACGGCCCAGTTGCGCCTGATCGCATTGTTTGACTTTGGCAAGCAAGGCTTCGACGTCTGGAATTCACTGGCGATTGCGATATTTGTTATTCATTGCCGAAACCGCATGATGCAACTTCAAGAATGCCTGCCCCAGCCCGACTTCCCTGCCGAGGAGGATCCTGATCTTTAAGGGGATGCACGCTGGAGAGGATGAACAACGCAACTCATGGATATGATATACGAAACTACGGATGCGAGCACACGAATAAGAATTTTGATGATTGATGGAACGTTTAGTCTTAATGATGGACCAAGACCATAACGCAAGCGTTTTGTCAATGCGGTCATGGATGAGGGTACAGTGGTCAAGTCTCTTCTTTTTCAAATACCCAGTACATGTTTACTCAGCCCAATGTCCTGAATTTTCACTGTGGCTATGGATGACAGACAGATGACTATGTTTTTTCTTTCCTGATATACCCCATATATACCCCATACTACTAGCGTTACATATAGCGCAATGCGTTGTGCGCGATACCCCAGTCTTCCAGATTCACGATGAAATGACAGCGCAATCACATATAGCGATAGCCCAGAGAACAATAAATCACTCCTTTAGGTATTTGTGCTCAATTGTTCGCGCTCCATTCTATCTATGTAACAAATGCTCGCCATGTGGCCATGAACAATAGCGTTCCATAATAAGCTGACTACCCAGTCGAATTCCTATATTATACAGATCTTACAGCACATGCATCCACTAGATTGCTAACGAACTATGGCTCCTAAAATTCACCAAAATAATCACAACGGATATGCAAATCTGAAAGGTCGATACAACAGCCTCAAAAGCCGATCTGTCCGAGTAGTCAAGGATCGGTTGTCCTCAGCATAGACTTCGATTTAGCCATTATTTCAATTACCTCTTAACACAAGTGTCAAGCGTCCGGATAGCGCAAAACGTCATTCCACCCCTTACCTACAAGCAGAAATCTTCCAAATACGTCATCGACTTTGCTGCGAACATCGACAAATCCCATCGCTAAGCAGTATATACCAGGGACGCCATGCTTTGTTCCAAAAATGCTTGTAGTTTTTGCGCATTTCTCGTTCGAGCTTATTTGTCAATTGCAGTCGGCTGATACATTCCCTTTTCTGGACTTGGAGGCTGTCAAGTGGCAAAAATGGCAGAAGGTGTGATCCAGCGCTTCCGACGCGCATTCCGCTCCCCAGCAAAAATCAAGGAGGAGGAAAAGAAGAGACATGCCGACGGACCAGCAACAGATGGAAAGTCGAAGCCTGAAGAGACGGAACATGGAGGCGGGAAGCCAAATGGGACTGAGAAACCGCAGTCCGTTGGATTCTGGAGTCCTGAGTTGCGACAAGTGAGGAACCGAGCGTTTGCCAAATGGATCGTTACAACGGCTTTTCTCATGGCTTTTATACTCGTGGTTTTGTCGTTGTACTGGGGCGTTTTCTTCAATGTACAGAATCGGCTACACCGCTTGCCAGTGTTCGTTGTGGACTTCGATGGTGTCGCGCCATACGATCAGACGGGAAATCAGCCTTTCGTTGGACCTACGATTACAGATCTTATCCAGACGACATTGAGTCAGGGCTCTCCGACAATAGGGTGGGAAGTCAGACCATCATCGCAGTACAACAATGATCCGCTTCAGGTTCGACAGGCGGTGTATGATTTGAAGGCCTGGGCTGCTATCATCATCAACCCGAATGCTACAGCTATGCTCTACTCTGCGATCGCCAATGGCAATGTGTCCTATGAGCCTCTTGGAGCATGCCAGCTTGTCTATCAAGCTGCGCGAGATGACACGAATTGGTCTAGCTTCCTATCGCCGGTGATTACGAAGTTACAAACTGAGGCGCAGACAATGGTCGGGAGAATGTGGATGAACTTGGTGCTGCAGAATGCCACTGAACCAACTACCCTTTCGAACATGCGAAATGTCCCACAGGCCATTAATCCCGCAATCGGCTTCTCAGAGTTCAACTTGAGACCATTCTACCCCTACACTGGTATCCCAGCTGTATCCATTGGACTCATCTGTAAGCTTCCTCACAACTTACCTTCCACACGCATGTGCCTAATAACAGCTGACACCCTCAACAAGATCTCATCATCATCTCCTTCTTCAGCTTCTCCTTCTACATGCCCATCCACATGCAATACATCAAACCAGAGAACCACCCGCCCTTGAAATTCCCCCAACTCATCGCCTGGCGCTGGCTCGCCACAATCTCCGCCTACTTCATGCTCTCCCTCGCCTACTCCTTCGTCAGCATGGCCTTCCAACTAAACTTCACAGCCACCAACCCCATCACCTCGACCACGCAGGCCACCGACACCGCATTTGGCAATCCAGTATCCTACGGCCACGGCACCTTTCTCGTTTACTGGATGCTAAATTTCTTCGGCATGATTGCGCTGGGTCTTGCGTGCGAGAATATGGCCATGGTGGTGGGACAGCCGTGGATGGGGCTGTTTTTGATCTTCTGGGTCATTACGAATGTGTCGACAAGTTTCTATGATATTGAAATTGCCCCTGGTTTTTATCGATGGGGGTATGCGTGGCCGTTGCATTCAAGTACGTCAACCCCTTTTTATCCCTCTTTCGCACTCGTAATTTTTCCCTTGATATTGCGCGGTAAAGAGGCTAACATGTTACACGCAGTTGTTGAAGGCAGTCGCTCTATCCTGTTTGACCTGCATTCCCGGATCGGTGTCGATTTTGCAATTCTGATTGGGTGGGGCACGGTGAATACATTGGTTTTTCCGTATGCGTGTTGGTTTATGAGTATGTATTTCTCTGTCCTGGATTTTAGGTAGGGACTCTCACTAACAAGGAGCAGAATGGAAACAAGAAAAAGGTATTCACGAATACTGGCCCTTGGACTAGATGTCCGGGGTAGCTTTTTCCTGACTTGGGTAGCATACGGCAGATTGATTGGGCTGTATACTTTTATCTTTGAAATATTAGAAACCCTTCCGTCAAATAATCACAATTATAGTAAATATCTCATATCTCTCACAGTTGATAGTGTGTTGCTACTTCTCGTCGTATCTATTAAATCACCCCTGAAAGAAAGTCTATAGACTGATTACCCCAGGAAGAAATATGCCTTAAGAAAAATAACACAATGCTCCTTGCCTCATTCAATCATCCGAAGTGTCAAGATCGGAATCGTCTTCAATAATCTCTTTACGCAGTCCACCAGATTTCTTGCTCGAGACGGCATTACGAGACTTTTTCCCCTTCTTCACTGGCACTTCAATCTGCGATTTCTTCGTCTTCTTTGTGAGTTTCTGCACTTTCGTCTCCACAGGCGTGCTCTCCTCTTCTTCAGAGCTGTCTTCTGATTCCTCGACGTTATCATTGTCGTCTTCATCTTCGTCGTCGTCGTCGTCGTCATCGGATTCTATCTGCGCACGACTGGGCTTCTTCCGCTGTGCCCTCCTCTCTTCAAGTGTGGGATAAGCGATGCCATACTCAGTCTGTTTCCCCCTGTCTTGATACTCATCCTTGCGGTTCCGCTTGTCCGCAGCATTCGCAGCGTCAGAACGACGCACGGATACCAGGTATTCATCGAACTTAGCGCTGGCTTCGGCTACTTTCTTGAAGTTCTCCTTGGTGAGACTGACGGGGATCTCTTCCTTGATCTTGCATCTCTTCTGAAACGTCATTCGGTCCCACTCCGCAAGCGCAATCGCAGTCTGAAACGCATTCTTGATCTGCCGTCCATTCCAGTTGCTTTTATTCTGTTGACAGATTTTCCAGTGGCCTTTTGCAAAGTCCATAATCTCGTTGTGGTTGAACTCGATGTATGGCAGAAGCGATTTCCGCGGTGATTGCGACTTGTCACTTTGGGCGGCGCTCTTCGCCTCATTTTCGTCTTTCAGGCGTCGTAGGTTCATTTTCCAGATTTTCAAAGTGCGCTTTCGGTCTAGAGGTGGGTAGTAAAGACTGATGTGGATACGGGATTTGATAGCCTCGTCGAACTGTCCCACGCGATTTGTCGTGAGGATGAGAATTCCGCTGTAGTATTCGAGCACTCGTAGAAAGACTGCGTTGTGTCAGCGCAAGTCCTGTTCTGTTCTCACCGCATGAAAATTTATTTCAACACTTACCGGAGACCAAACTGTTTTGTAGAATGTCACCCTTGGTTCGCTCTCCCAAAAACACATCCGCTTCATCGAGTAGTAGGACACATCCCCATTTGCGTGCAAGATCAAAGTACGATTCCAAGTTTGTCTCCACTTCTCGGGGTGTTTGACCTCCAATATCACCACATGTAATGGGAAACAAGGGACGATGCGTGTGCGCAGCGACACACTCTGCTGTGGAGGTCTTGCCGACTCCCGGGACTCCATGAAGCAATATAATGAGACCTTTGCCTTTGCCCTTGACCAGATCCATCTGGCGAGTAGGTCTAGCCTCTTTGTCGGACGTCGAAGTAGGTCCACGAGCGTGCGTTTTGACGAGCGCACGAACTATTTCCTTGTGGTCCTCGGGTAGGACGAGATCTTCGAAACCGTCCGACTGGCTCTTAGTTTCGACGATGTCCTCGAGAAGATCAATATCCAATGGGTCTACTTTATGTTACAACTAAATAGGTGACATAATAACAAAGCGAACTTACACCATTTGCGACTCAGCAGCACATAACCATACATGCGATAGGGCAACAACATGTACCTGTCATTGCGAAGCTTCTTCTCTGTCTCCTTCAGAATCTCCGAATGCTCATTCAAGAAATTTGACCGCCGAAGTAGCTCGTAACCAATGTCATCGTGCACTGTATTCGTCTCGCAGGTGGTGCAGTCCTCCACATTGCAACCTCTGTAAGGTTCGTTTGTCTCTCGTATGTCCGGCGAGGTCAATTCCTGTAGAAGCGCGCTGGCGGGCGCAGGCAATTTGAAGCTGACGTCTGGCCAAATACTGTGTTGTTCGGGCCTATCCCTTACCGGTAGTATTACATCAGGCATATTGTTCTTGTAAGCCAGTGCGAAATCGATGATGACGTCTCCATCAATTTCCTCGCATCTTGAAGTCTTGTCTTGCAGGCTCAGGCCTGAGTAGCGCTGATGTGTGACCTCGGCCAGTTTCTCAAACCTCTTCCCTCTTGCTATGAGCCTCGCCTTCAGATCTTGTGCCTCTTCTTTCGAGTAGAGTCCATCCAGAGGAGCGACAGTCAAGTTCTTCAGTGCCCGCGTTCCGTCATATGGTGAGATGGAGATATAGATGGGTGCCGGTGTATAATGAGTCCCGTTGAAGTCAATGTGGAAGCAATCAATAAAGAAATCGGTCGTCTTCATGATACGTGAGCCTGCCAAGGGTGCCCCGTTATGGTCCACGCTTTCACCGTAAGGTCGCCCTCCACCCACATTGAGAACGCGATATGCCTGCTCTTTGTCCCCTTTCGGGCACACAAGCATGCCAGGCTCAAATACATGCCAAAGATGTTCGAATGCAATCTCGTAGTTTGCATTCCATGTCGCTTTGCGAATTTCCATGATTTCCGCGTTGTCGTGATCAATAAAATGTAGCAAGCAGCGCAACCCAACACACAGCTTCGCAGCTTTCCTCAGCTTTGCTCGGTCTTCAGTCTCCAGATCATTCTCTTCTTTCGGAGGAGGAGTGGTTTCGTTTTCCTCAGCCTCCTTGCAGGCTTTGTCATATCGAGCTCTCCTCTTTCTCTTCATCTCTTGAAGTTCTTTGAATAGTTCTCGGTTTGCCCGCAATGCCTCTTCAATTTCCGATCGAAAGGGTATGACGTTCTTGAAAGGGCGAAGGAGTATGTTGTTCCGATCGGTAGTGGTTGTTCCTGAGATGCGTCCAATTTCAGCCAGCAGAGCCGCGCAAGTGATGGCGAGTCTGTCGGGGGATGGTATCGTTCCAGAAGCAGCACCGCTTGAGAGTTTATCCACTGTAGTCATTTCACTGAAATATATACTGCTAGGGCTTACATGTCTCTGAGAAACTACAAGGGACAAGTTTTTTGGGATCGGAAAGTCTCCAGCAATCTTGTAGTTTCTTGCCAGATTTGACTTTACCCATTCGTCGGATCTGACATATCTGATACTTTCCATGAATTTTGGTCGTTCGGATTTCCCGCTCTTACTTGTCTCCTCGATATCATCCTCGGCAAGGTCTGAAGCTATCGAGGCTGTGTCATCGTCTTCTTCCTTCTTCTCGTCGGCAGCTTCGTCTTGTGATCCTCCTTCTTCGGCGGCGACGGCTTTCAGCTTTTCTTTCACAGCCTCGTATTTACTTTCCAGAGCCTCTAGACGCTCTGTATTAGCTTTCAGCTGGGCCAACAATTCCCGCGACACAGTGTCTCCCTCTTTTGACGGTTCTACTGCTGGGTTTTGAAGCGGCTTGTGCTTGCTAGGGACATGGTCCTGAGATTTAGAATTAAGTTTGTTGTTCGTAGCATCGCAATGGCCATTTGTTAACGGATCGGTATCAGGAATTGTCACCGGGGTCAAGGGACGATTTTCCATGATGAAGGAGAGTATCGATCGTTTTGGTAACAAGCTTTCGAAAAGAAGATAAGCGCCTGAATGTCTGTCAACAAAGCAGGCACGCCACTATATACCTAGGCTACATGGTGTATCCTGCAATGCGTTCATTCACGGTTCGCCATGTCCTTGTTTCACGTTCAGCTTCAGGCTAGGCTGTTGTAGTCCACCCGCGACCTCTTTGAACCGCGGGACGAATCTCGGCGTCCTCAAAGTTCTGAAAATATCCATTTTGGTCCCCATAATCACAATTTAGTGCTGACATTGCATGCGAGTTGCTGTTTGTGTAGAACAATCCCCACCGATCGGTCTTGAGAATTTGGTGGCTGAGGGATACACGGGTAAGCGCGACCAATGATGAAGACCAAATCTATGCACAACTCCACCACGGCAGCCTGGAGCCTTGTTTGGCCCCCAATACAAACGCCACAGATATTTCTAATCGCCATCTCACATCTGCACGAAGATAACCATTTCCGTTATTGCACGCTTTACTGGACATAATGAGTGTGTTCATGTGTCTCAAAGCTCTGACTAAGGTGGAGGAATTCGATTGTATGTCAAACACATTTATCCGAACATTCTTGTGGAAGATATTCAACTAGGCATACCGGTAGTGGTTGAGGGTTAGCAATGGTATTTGTTTCCATGGTGTGATTGTCCAACACTAGTACAGATATCACATGCCATCCGGACGCATACTGGACTGGTCAAAGTGTCGGCTTTAACACTCAGATACAATTGTATCACTTTCTACTAAATACCTTTCAAATTAATAGGTTTGAATAGATTGGATCCTGGTCCGCAAGGCTCAATCAATTCTGCCTTGATGTTCTCTTAGGTAAAAACTTGACTATAAATGAGAGGCTCCATGTCTGTTTTCAAGCAGAAATACAAGGCAATACATGTGGAATGGTTATGAAATTACGGTCGTTTGAACTACACTGGGAGCGATCTAACCGATATTCGTAGCGCTGACCACCCTCTTCCGCGTCGAATCGACAAAATTGACTGCGAAAATAAGGCAGGATGATTTCTGATTCTGAGCTGATTCCGCATCTAATGCAGGGGCCATTATCAGCGATTACCGACCTCAAGGGGCTGAAACTAACTCGAAGAGCAACTGGTTACCTAAATCTGCGAGGCCCTTGTAAAAAGATCAGCCAATGTAACAAATCAACAAATCAAGTATCACAACCGTGGGGCTGAGTACGCGCAAATTAGGACCAGCTCAGCCCATGAGCCAGCACAGGTCTTGTTGCCATCATACCTAATAATTCTCACAAGCAACTCAGATTTTGATAATACACCTAGTCGCTCTAGAAGCACGCTGTATCGCGCCGCATGTCTTGAAGCACCGCTGGCCAGGAAAAAGCTCATCTTAAAATCACAAGGCCAACTTTCAAGGCTACCACCACTCGATCCACCCTTGATTTACTGCTAGCCGAGACGGCCATGGACGTCGCCATTCAACCACCAACTTACGAAGAGGCAACAACGGAAACCAGCTTGCTACAACGTCGAGGGCCAAGTCTTCATATGAGGGATGTCGTTGAGCGTTACATGACAAAGCATCGTGGCAATGGACTCGACGGTAGCATACATCCGGCTTTGAACACGAATACCTCAGCTGTGCGTTACAATGCGGAGATTGCGAAGTGGATGCCTAGCGAAGCAGTTGTTCCCATTATTGAACCGATCGTGATACGCCCAGCGTCACCACTTGACCCAGATAGACACAAATGGAAAGGCAACACAAAGTCTGTTCAACCGGACTTGTAAGTGAACAGCGATGCACATGGGCTTATAACAAGCGGAACTGATCTTTCAAAGCAAATCGATGTTCAAAGACATCGAAAGAGATGAGCTTAACTTCCGTAATGCTGTCGCGGCATTCCAACAAGATGTCAAACCGGAGTATCGAGTGGGTATCAACCTTTCCGAAAGTCGTTCAATGGATGATATTGTGAGCGCTGTGAAGGAAGCGCAAAAAGCCTACGAATTGAAAGCAGAAAAAGGAATGTTTGCTCCTTTCCGCAAGGTATTGCGCAAAATTGGAGATCACCACAAAACGTATCAGAGCTTCATTGCACTTGCTCCGTCACAGTCAACATACTTCTCACTGGTATGTGGAGGGGTAGTGCTCCTACTTGAGGTCAGTCAGTCAACACAAATTCCTATTGCCAATATGCTCAATCTTGAAGGCTGCTGGAAAGATGCGTGAGATCAACGAGGAGGTTCTCAATACCCTTGCCGACATACCAATGCTGGTAGACAAGAGTCAGCGTCTACTTGCCGCCTACCCGAGCTCTGAAGACTTACAACAGCATTGTTCGAATCTCTACGTTGCAGTGCTGCACACCCTTGGCGACATACTCCAGTATTATCGCGAACGAGCCGTTCGCAAAGCTATCAAGGCCGTTTTCACGCAGGGTTCGTTCAAAAGTAAGTTGATGGAGAGAATCTCAACCTTGCAGCGATGCGAAGATGCTATCAACAGGGAGGCAGCGACATGCGATATGGAGACCGGCGTAGATACTAATCGTAATGTGAGGGATGTATGCGATGTTACAAAGGCAACATATGAGAATCAAGGGAAATTATATGAAGAGATGGTTGAGCAACGAAAGCAGCAACGACAAGAGGTGGCCCAGCTCCGCGCCGAAAATCAGAGGATAGCGTCAACACTGAATAATGTTCAGGCTCTTCTCATGGCACAGCCCATGAGAAATATGCCGGAATCGGGTACGTCGACTCCTTATCAGAGCCTGTTGCGATGAACACTAAACAAGATAGATGCTACCGGCAAAGTAGATCACGAGCACAGGAGCCCCAGTCCCCACCAAGAGAAAGCCATCTCGAAGAAAGCCGCACTAGTCACCAAGAAGAAGATCATTAGAGAGCTCGGCTACCAGAACCGGGTGACGCTTAGCGACAGAAAGTACAATTTGGAGCAAATCATGTCGTTCACTCGGGCAGACCAGAACCGAGCTGTCTACGTATTGCAATCAGCAAAGCTACAAAAGTGGCTCAAAGCCATCGAATCTTCCATACTTCTGGTGAATGGTGGCATGTCTGGTTCCCACAGCCTGCGTACACCCATCAGCTTCGTGTCTGCCAAGTTGGCTGATGCGTTGCATCAGTCGCGCAGCGAGTCAACATTCATCAGCCTGAATTTCTTCTGTGGAGAGCATGAGGACTGGAGGGAAAATGTTGACAATGGACCTGCAGCTGTGTGGAACAGTTTGCTTGCACAATTGTTGTTGCAGTATGACCATTTTGATCTTGCGACTGTGAAACGGCTGAGCAAGATTGACAACGACGACGTAAAGGCTTTGGGGATTGCTTTTGGTAACTTGCTGAAGCAACTTCCACAAGGATACGTGGTATTCTGTATTGTGGACAGTGTGTCACTCTACGACGACGAAGAGCGAGGAGATGATGCGGAACTTCTAGTCAAGAAGTTGGTGCATCTGGCTCGAAGGTCGGCACAAGAGGATAGGTGCATCTTCAAGCTTCTACTGACTTCGCACACCCAACTCCGGCTTGACGCTGTAAGTTGTTTGCGAAGTAAAGAGGTTTTACAGGTGCCGGAGATTCTCGAAAGTGGAGATGGTTTCAGCGACTTGCAGTGGGAAAGGGGCATTGGACGGAGAATTGACAGCTTGTAGATCTCATAGCTTCTGTAGTATCAAAATTACAGATCACCCGTCCTTGTCAATCATACTGTATCTTGTCAGTCGCCAAGTGAAAGTTCAAGAATTATCATCTAAGAGATTTTCCATAGTGTCCTTGACTACTCCACTGAAAGCAGTGAACCTCCATCACTCTCCCTCGCCTTCCAAAATCGTCCTCGCCTCTTCTTCCATAGCCTTCATCGTCCTCTTCATGAACCCAGGCCCCACACTAATCCTACTCACCCCGATCTCACCCAACTCCCCCACGCTCAACCCTCCTGGCTTCATAGTGACCAAAATGACGTTCAATCTCCCATCCAGCTCCTTGCACGCCTTGACCACCTCGTCCCTCCTCCAACCCTCCCTCGTCGGCCCACCCCAGATAAACACATTCGACGCGCCAGCCTTAAGATACGCCTTGCCACGCGTAATCGCATCGTCAAGACCATGACCCGCAAAGTATGAATCACTACGTGCATTAACAACAAAATCAGGAACACCTTCCTCCCTCGCAACCGCCATGACTCTTCTCACACGCTCCTGTGCTTCTTCGATGGTATACAAGCCTCCCTTCTCTCTGCCCAGATCCTCGAGATTGATGCCGACAACACCCATGCGGATAATCTGTCTTACTCCATCTTCAAGTTGCTCGCCAAATCCATCTTGAAAGTCTGCGGTCAGCGGTTTGTTGAATTCCTTTGCGACTTTTGCAATGGCTGCTATGGCGCGGAGGTTAATATCGAGGGTTAAATCGTCGTCGTCGATTCCAGCTGCGGCGGCAACGGCTGCGCTTGCTGTAGCGAGGGCTTTTGTGGCAGGGATGGCGGCAACAGCGCGGGCAGAGATGGCATCCCACACATTTGTAAGCACGATAGGGGAGCCAGGCTTGTGCAAGCTCTTGAAAAGTTTCGCTGTCTCGTTCTGCGTGGACATGTTGATGGTGGTGGGAGAGAGGGGTAACGGATGCGTCTTGATTCCTGAATAAATGAATGCTTCACCTGTTTGATATTTGACTATGGGAATCTCGCGTTGTGGTGGTGTCAGAGTGACCCAAATGTGCTGCTCTCAAAAGAGGGTAAGTCTGGAATGTAATCAGATGACTCACCAAGGCTGAATATTTTTTAAAGATGCTTCCTCTCGCAGTCATGTTGCGTAACAGTAGGGCGCGACCAAAACAGAGATTGATTCATCCCGATGTTCGCCCCCGATGCTTCCGTCAGTATCCGCAAAGGAAGCTTGATGTCAACACGCATGGTTAGAGGCGCACTGGAACAGCCATATTCACCTGGACAGCCGGATAAGTTCACGAATAGTGGTTGTATTCTCTGGTATTTATTACAGGACAGGTGTCGTTTTCCTATGTTCCCGTATGATTCGGACGATAACAATCATTTCCGTCTCGCACAGACTCCCACAGCCACGCCAGAATGTGTATGGATCATCACAATCTGGTACACATGCACATCATTGTGCCGTCCCTGTACCATATACTCATAGCCCGTATTCACAGGCCTTTCATATCGAACCGTATCTTCTCCCGACATGGGATCCTCCTCTTTCCTAGTACTACACAAAGCGCCAAAATTCATCGTCGTATGATGAAGCGCATGAAGACCGCTGTACGCTATGCAATGCTAGTGGGAAAATGCCAGAAACTTCGGGGGAATCGAAAGGAAGAAGCGAGAACGAGTGTTCTCAAAAAGGGTAACAAATATAAGAAAAGGGTATCGCTCGCAATGAATCCAGAAAACTTCTGTAGCGTACGTGTGACAAGTCGAGGCATCGTGCTTGAGCCGGCATGCTTCACTCAACCCCGTGGATATCGAGGAACTTCTTCATTTGCATGATGCCAGCGGCGATCATTCCTCAGAGGTACAAGGTCATGGGCTGGAAGGGGCGCCCGTCTGTCATACACCCTAGAATCATACATGTGAGCATAAGGTAGAACTTCAACAGGTGCTTCGTAGTATGCATCTCTCGCCTCGCGCGGTGGCGGAGGGCGAGCTGGAGCATGGACATACGAATGGCCATTCTGTTCACGCGCCTCTTGATACAAACGAGGTCGCACATAGTGACTCTCGTTAGCTGATGGTCGATATGGACTACTTGTCAAGTCAACAACTTGTGGTGGAGGCGGCGCCCTCCAAGGGTCCATTGGCTGCTGAGCAAGCGTATGAGATGGACCATCGTGGTGAGCATAGCGATCGAGATCGTCGGGAAAACGAGGCCTCGATCGCTTGTGGTCTTGATCCGGAGGCGGAGCCGGCCTGCCATCCATTGGAGTATAGACTCTCCTTTTTGGAGAGTGTACCTGAGGGCGCCTTAAAATATGTTCTTGATCTTGCGATAGCAGGTATCGATCATCGACATGCTCAGAGGATGTGAGGTCTACCATCTCACGTTCGACAGAAGGTAAAATTACATCCTGTTCAAACGGGCGGCTTGAGCGTACTGGTGGTCTGTCAAACGAACTTGGTCGCACAGGGGATGGTACATATTCGTCATTGGCATATCGTGACGTAGCACGACGAGGCGACTGGTCATACAATACCCTCATATGGCCATGCGGCTCTTCAATAGGTTGCAACTGCGCTTGTTAGCTTAAGACGAAACTGAAGGAGTGTACCGATATGTAGGGCTTTCAATGCAGAGCCCTCCAACGACTCACTTCGTATAATCGCCCGTCGATTTCACTCATTCTGGGAGTGGCTCGGCAAGTGGGCTGAGAAATTTGCGGTCGGGTTCGCCTACATGGATTAGCAATCAGATTGATCATAGATGATCTTGCACGTACGAAAGAGAGGGCCGGTTGTGTGCAAGATGAGATGCATCGATGCGAGGTGAGGAACGCGACTCTACGACATGCTCGCGTGCTCGAGCAGGTGAGGAAGGAGGAAGTAGCGTCAACCCTTCACGTGCAAGCCTTGGGTAAGCAGCTGCTGGAGGGGGCGGAGGAGGCCTTTGAAGGAAAATCGTCCGCCTGCGCGTTTGCCTTTGGTCATGTACTTCAACCCGTGAATGACTAGCATAGCATTCAGGCTGAAGATCCTTCGCAGTAGCACGGTTCGAGACGATTTCCATGCTCTGCTCCCGTTCGTCAGGAGTGGAGAGCGAGCTACCATCGCTAGAGTCCTCATCATCCAGGACAATGACCTCGCGAAAAGTTTCTTCGAGCTCATTGCTCTGCTCGCCAGCTTCATCCCGCCACTCTTTAAGTTTGGCAAGTGAAACATGTTCGACTTGCGATCTTGCTGTCGACCAGCCATCAGTTTTAAGTAGTTTGTCGTAGTCAGTGTAGGTATGACGAATGTGTGCCACGACTGCGAGCTGCACTCTGCGCGCCAATGAAAGCTCTTTCGCGTTACCTACTCTGTCCGTACCCTGTATCGCGTAAGCATTACGTGCAGAAAATGATCAATCTGCTATACCTCTTCAAATGCGTGATTCACAATGGACGAAAGATCTGCTTCAGGAATCTTGGGAAACATTTCCCGTACAGCGCCGTGGATGTAGCTTTTGGTCTCCTTCTCGCCGGTAGGTCGACCGTGAAGTGCTTGTCGCGTCGAGTAACTTTCCATGCTCTGCGCAATCCAATTGATCCTATCACTGTTTCTCGCTTTCCGAAGACCCTTTGTATCATCATATGTGTATCCAAATTTGCTACAGGCTAGCTGGATGATCTCGAGGGGAAAGTGATGGCCCAGTCTGTGGACATGATGTGACAGCTTCTCCGGATCGGCATGCATTTTGTTCTTCGGTTTTGCCTGCTTGAACATCAGTGAGAACTCGAGCTTGTGCATGCTAGAATGCTGACCGAGACTATGTGAACGTCTAGATTGCGCTGTCGGCATTGCTCTTTGCACCACTCCGTTACTTCTGGGTGGCCAGCGGGGATGAAACCGAATCCTGTGGGCGCATTAGAGGCATAAGTCAGCTACGCAGAGATTAGTACAGGCAGAAAAGGCAACGAGTCGACAACGGACAATCGAGTGAAGCTTCTTCTTTTCCTGGGTAACAGCCTCCAGTACAATCTTGTAGGGCTTTTTCTTCGGATGTGCAGCTCGCTGCGTTTCAAGCGGGTCGCCGCGTTGAGGCGCGTGCTGGGCACGGAATTTGTTCACTCTGGTCATGATGTGGCCGAGAAGGCAGAGGCTTCGAGTCCACACACGAGCGCGATGAAGGAAAAAGAGCTCAAGTACAGCAGATCCAGCGTGACGGTGTTATTATGTTAGTACTTCAACACTGCAAGCAGTGCGTTTATCTCAAGTGCAATCGATCAGAGAGTCTAGTGTATGCCTACAACCCCGGTTGCCACAAAGAGAGCAGGCGGGGTGATGAGCTGCAGATGAGGTGCCTGGTGAAAAGGGAGCGTCGGTGACGACGAGATGAAGGCGGCGGTTGGGCACATGCGACCGGCTTAATGTTTCTCCGTTGCCCAATCATGTACTCAGACCCTGACTCTTACCGGTGACCACTGCAACGGCGACAATGTCGAATACGGCTGTCATTCACGCATACAGGAATCTGTACCGACAAAGCCTCAGAGCTATCCGGTTCTCAAAGCCGGCACGCTATACTTTGCGCGACCGCATACGATTAGCCTTCCGCAAGGGCAGCGCTGAAGATTTTGAGCCTCACAAGGTCCAGAATACTCTTGAGTTTCTGCAATATGCCACAAAGCAGAATGGCTTGGAACACAAAATATTGAAGAACTTGCTGTTTGTCTGGTGGGTTCAGGACAGCGGCGGCCGATCAAGATCAAGGCAACGAAACGCGTACGTGTCGTAATTTATAGTGAAACCGCGGCTTGCTAACGTAGCCTAGGTCTCAAGAAGAGCTTGCGATCAAGACCACTGCCTACGACACCTTTAATCATAATGTTCGCATGCTAAATGAAAGCATGGACCTGTGCCTTCCTGCTATGACTGTTCGCGACCCACTATGACGCTCCCGCAACACGTCAAACCCATTACGGAACGCCAGCTCGCTGTATGCTGTGCCACAATTGCCTTGCGCAGTAGTGAAGATGGCAGCTACATGAAGTCGTCGAGGAAGTTTTCATCACGATTCTCATTGGAGTTTTGCTCCAGGTTCTCTTCGGTCATCACATCATCATAGGCGTGGTCCCTACGCCATGCGAGCTCTTTCCGCTCCTTGGCTATGCGCGCTTCCTCTTTCCTCTATTAAGATGTTAGAGAAGTCCCGAGTGATCACGGATAAAGGAAAGGGCATTCGAAGTGCAAAATAGGAAGAAGCAGAGCTCGCGGTGAGGTGGTGAGGTGGTAGTGAAGGGAATGTTTGGGAAGGGTAATTCAGGGGAAACATCAGAAAATACCCGAGGCCATAGGCCTGAGAGAAGAAATGCCAAAGAGCCATGTGGAATGCGAATCAGGTAGAAACATACCTTGGCTTGGAGGGCATCCCTATCCCTCTTTCTCAGCTCGCTCAGCCTGGCTTCCTTTTCTTCTCGTAGGTCGGGAAACTTCTCAACTTTGGTCTTGTTGAGTCTGTTTACAATGGGGTTCTCCCGCTGCTCTACATGTATCCGCTTGACCTGTATGTATATCGATTAGCCCGCATCGCTGCTGAACATAACATTTCAACATTGAACATTTACCTTTCTCGGGTCCTTGAAGCCAACTTGACCCACCGCCATGCTCCCATCCTTCTTCAAATTCGACCATGGTGTATATACGATGGTGACGTTGTCTTTCTTGTTACCTAGAAAACAGTGAGTACTCCAGTCATTTATACAACTCTGCGGCTTCCACAATACCTTCGATGCTGTTTGCTTTGGTTAATTGCGCGCAATCAATCATCAAGTCCTTGTTCATATTCTCCCAGCTCTCGCCTTCTGGCAACCGAACGTAGATATGCGCCGACGAAAGGTTATCCGCGTGAAACCAAACGTCCTCATCCCAGCCGTACTTGATCAGCTCTTCATCTTTACGCATTGTCAGTTTTCATGTGTGCATACTCTGGAGCTGCAACTGCTGTTGACAAGATTGCAGGTGCAGTTTGTGCGTACTTTCTACCTTGTCTTTGCCAACATAGATGAAGGCCGACGGCGTTACTGTGTTCGATGAGAAGTAGTACACCATTTTGGCTTTCTTCAAGAACGTGATAGGCGCGCTTAGAGGACAATGGAGGCGGGTAGATAGAGTCGTGAATTTCCGTTGCACGTGTGGGGTTAGCGGGGCCATCAAATCAGGGTCCAGTAACCACAAATTAGGCAAGGTTCCCACTTCTCACCAATTGCGACCACAGCAGCTGAAAGTATCTTGTTTCGAGAAAAATCGTGCTCTCTTTTCTCTGAAATTATGCATATTGACATCCCGTAAAGCATGCATTGATCTCTTCTCCAATGATACATTGCGTTAACAATTCCTCATCAGACGCAGACTCCATGTTATGAGTATCTGCTTTATCCATGTGCACGAACGATATGTATGTAAATACGCTTATCGCTTGGGAAAAGCAGTCAAAATGTCCCTTGATACCAAGATAAAAAAAATCACCATCTCGACATACATAGCCACCCGTACTGATTTTCCATAAAACCAAAGAATGGGTTCAAACAGAACGCCAGCATCATTCAATACCAGGAGGGCACTAGCAACCCAGCATCACGTGACAAAAATGCACCGCGTTCACAGTCGCGGCTAGCCAAACATTGGGATCCCCAAAGGCAACGAGAACCAACAACCACACCAACATAAGCCGAGCAAAGGAGCAAACTAAAACCACCTCTCACCAACATGCCAGCGGAACAAACGTCTGCAGATGCCCGGAGAAAAGCAGCTCGCGAAGTCATCGACATCCTCCATGAAATCGCAACATTACTGGCACGTCCAAACACACACGCCGCACACGATTGCCCGTATCGCTAACAAACAAAACATCACAGAACACCCATCTCGACCGCCAACAACTCTCCTACTGCGTCTCGCTCATCGAGAACGGCGCAAATCCGGAAGCGTTAGCGGTACGTTGAGGAATCCCCCGCCCTTTAATCCACCGCGGCACAGGTTTCATCTGTACCAGGCTCGCGCGCGGTTCACCGAGTCTTTCGACATGATCAATACAGAGTCCCCATGAGCGTCTGCAACGTGCGGCGTTAATTGCCGATTCCTGCATATGCTGACAATGGCGTAGAACGTCATACTCCAACTGCGCGAGGAATATCCCGTGTCCTCTGAAGACGGCGACACGGAGTGATGATACGCGCGCGCTGAGTCTGATCAGCAGACTTGGAAACATGTGTGCGTTGTGCAAGTCCTTTGCTTCCCTCGGCGCAAGGGGACGTTTTGCACTTGTGCGGATCTGCATCGTGTGCACATGAAAGAAAGAAAAAAAGCCGCCATGCTGCAAGGCATGCGAATCGTTCCAACGGTAGAAACATTCGGAATTGGCCGGTGCTGGTCCGATATAGTCCCACACTTTTTTTCTTTTTTTTGGTTTTTTGTTGCTTTTTATCTATAGCCTATGGATTCATGGCGTCGGAGGTTCATGTGCAGCCCAATGCATGCTTGGCACGCACACCTGACGCAACGCCTGGAATGGGATGAACCCGTCATGGAGGGGCACAAACGCGGGGCATGCGGCGAGTCAGAAGCCGCCGCCAAGAGGGTGAGGTCGAGACGTTATGCACCGTTATCAGTCCTTTTGGCTGGGATGGTTGGAGGGCCAGCCGGGTGGGTAGCGAATGCATTGTTGGGGGAGAGGGAGGGAGAGTGTGTGTGTTGTGTGTAGAAACGGCGAGACTCCATGGTACGAGGATGAAGCTGTAGTTAATCTATGCAACTCAGATTTAAGCGTGATGATGCCGTGGCGGACAAGCCACCAGGTCCCCGGGTATAAACATGGTTTCTCGTATCGTGTCAGATAGATTCGATGAGTTGTGAGATATGCGTCATCAACGTCGCATATAGGAAATTAAGACGGGTAGCTATAGTAATAATCTGACCACTATGAACGATGGGAAAACAAGACAGGGAGAACGATGAACGATCGTTTGGGTATCTCAACGAGGGAATAGGGTATCTTGCAGAAAAGAAACTTGGTCGCTGTAACCAGGCCGAAACGCCGTGTCTGCCCCTCTCCCAAAAGAAGGAAATGCTCTCTATCTACCGGCTTCCCCATGTGGGCGATCCCTGACGTTGACGGAAGTTGCCCTTTTGGTCGGCCACTTTGCGAAGTGCTTTTTCGGCGCGAGCTTCTTGCTTGTCGAGGAAGCCGTTGAAGATGGCGGGGAGGATACGGGTGGAATCTGAGGATATGTTAGAAGACATGGAACTTGAGAGAGAATCAAAAAGGGGCCAACGTACTGGCATGATCGCCATCAAAGATGATGCCATCCGCACCCCTTTCGCCCGCAACCTTGACGGCTTCTTCCAAGAGGCCTTCTCCTACGCCCTTGCCACGATACTTCAACTTGACAGTCCAAGCACGAACAACAGCCTTGCCTCTCCTCCTCCTGCCTCGCTTCTTCGCAGCGTCGTGGTCTGCCCATCCCAGCACCAACGCACCAATGACATCTTCACCCCACTTCACCACGATCATCCTGTCATCGCCCAGCCAATCCATGTTGATGTTCTCCGCAACACCAATATATGCACCCGTCATCCAACGAATGAAGATGAGAAATGTCATGGTAATGCCTCCGACGGTCGTACAAACCATGAGCATGTCATTGTACCAGCGGAGCATATACTGTGTCGCGACTGCGGCAACCAAGCTGTATACAGCAAGCGAGATGGGGTGAAACAGCAAGACCTTGCTTGAAACCTGCCGTTGCTGGGCAACCGAATCAGCGACCAGTCTCAAACCTTCCACGCGGTCGTCTTCAGTTTCGGCGGTATACGTCGAGAGTTGCGGGATCTCCTCGGTCGATGGTTTTATCGGCGCGCTAGCTTCGGTGGATGACATGATGATTGATTCGGTGGGCGAGGGGTACGGATTATGTGACGACGAGAGCGTTGAGAAGGTCAATGGCGTTGGGGGGAGTGGGTGGTGCGAGAAGCTGTTTAGACGAAAGGAAGTCGGGGTTCCCAATGGTGAGGGTAGATCGGGGTCGATTCTGAGGTTTGCGCTTAGTGAGGATAGGAATGCTGTGAGGATTTGTCAGTCTTCAGTTCCAAGGTTGGTGATGCTTGCGGTTGGTTTGTAGGGTGCGCGCTTGACATCATCGGCTGTAACCGTGGCATGCGACCAGGACCATCAACGACAGATGAAAAAAAGTCTTGACATACCAGCACTTGTGCGAAATCCAGGTAGTGAAGGGATGACTGGGATTGCCTTTTCAAGACCAGCGTAGTGATTGACCACACCCGTCGATTCTCCCAGAAAATGCTGTCGAGGGAATGCTTGAGGGCCGGGCGGAACCTTGAGGTGACTCGGAGGAAGTTGGCGACGCATCTTTGTTATGTACCAACCGCCAGCGAAGAAAAAAAAACAGGTCCGTCTCAATGTCGATTAGATATACCGCCTAGTTAGAAATCCGGACCAGCCAAGAAAGGAACAAGGGGATTCATTAAATCAGTTTAGGTCAACGTGTAGCTGCAACAGGTTCAAGTAAGAATCCGAGCAAAAGAATCGACTTTCTTCTTTTCCTCGAGACTAGCAGGACACGCACAAACAGGACCAAGGCTTCGTCGCAAAAATAAAATTGTGAGACGATGACCGTGGGAAAACGTGCGTCTAAGTATTGGATCACCGGCCAAGGCCAAACGTCTCCCAGCGCTCTGTTCTGCTGTTTGCTCTTACTTTTTGGCATAAAAGTGGATACACAATGGACAGGACCAGGCCCCCCCCCAGTCTTTCGACACACTGGTTACGTTGATGTTTTTCGCGGCCGCAGACTGGCGAGATGGCGTTGGATCTTCGCCAGGCCCCCCTTATCCGCACCATGGTGCGGTGGAAGCATGATGCGAAACCGTTATTGGGTGCTAGAGAAGAGCTGAAGATAAGGACCAAGCTCAGCCGTTGTTCAACCAAGACGAATGGCCAGACTCTCCTCCGGCTCGATATGCTGCTTGTGGATGAGTGGCTACAGGGATGGGCGTTGGGCGAAGCGGTCTGTTGGTTGGTGTTGAACGGATCGATATTCGTCTAGGGACTCGGGGAGCACGAAATAGGGCTACCGGCAGTCTTCTGCGCCGCACAACCAGCAAACCAGACTTTTGAACATGCTGTGCCGCTCCAAGAGATCCAGAGGCAGGATGCCTTGCGCCTCCATGCCGCCATTCTTTCTCCATGTCTGTCTCGCGGATGGCGAGCACCAGCACACTACTGCCTAACGGTACCTCGTTTGCAGCAACAACCTGTCATCTTCCATCGTGACACCCGTCACAGGAACCTTATAGTACGACCATGACTGTCAGCATCCCCTTGGACGTCCAAGCGCATGCAGCGGCGTCAAAAAACAGCAGCGGCTGTGACCGGGTAAGCGCAAGCGAATCGCCTTCCCGTTGGCTGGTTGACCGTACGACCGCTCTCCGCTCCCCAAGCGTTCCCTCTCCCACCGCACTCGGCGTCTTGAAAGGATGAAACGAAGTTTGCGGACAGGGGGAAGGATTTGTCTCACGCCTTTCCCAGCCTGAACAGCGTGCGGCAAGCATGCAGCATGTATAACCCTGCGTAGCGTGTAGATCGCCAAAAAGCTGACATGCACGCACACCATGGACACCCCCGTGGTGGCATGTCATATGACCATGGGTTTAGCGTCGGGCGACTTGGGCTTTACTCCAAGTGGTTAGAATATCCCTGTAGGTTCAAGTCCACGTTATAGTAGCAAATTTTTATAGTTATATAAACTAGCCTATAGTTAAGTATAAATTAGGGTAATTTAAGCAAGTAAACGTAGTTTTTATTACTATCTTTTTTAAATATATTCTAAACCTATTCTTAATAATATATAGGTATTCCTAAATACTATACTAGAGTTTAGTATAGTAGTACTAGATAATATATCTAAACTAGATAGTAATATTAGAGATAAATTTAGGTAACTATATAAAGTGCTAGAGGAGGATAGTAGTAGTAGTATTAAGGAAGTAAGTAAAAGTAAATAGAACAAGTTTAGAATAGGTTAGTAATATATTATAGGGGTATAATATATACCTTACTTATAGTAATAGTTAAGGACTACTACTTATACTAGTAATTATTAAGCATGCAGCTATTCTCCTAGTATACCCTTAATTATATAGCTAAGGGTATAGGTATATAATACTAGTTTAGTAATATAAAGATAGCTCTTACCTAATAAGAGAAGAGGTGCTTATATAGGCTATATAGGTAACACGTTAAGAACATGTTCTTAAATTATTCTAATTCTAGTAGGTATAATACTCCTACTAGTCTATCTATCTTAATAGGCCTATAACTTTACTATTCTTTAATAGCTAGCTAGTAAGCTAGTATAAATACTAATACTCTAGGGTAAAAGTATATAAGTATCTTAAGAATATATTATAAATATATTCTTATTACGTTATTAATAATATATTATATAATTAGATCTAAACCTTAAAAAGTATAGTACCTAAGAAAATTCTATAAAGAGAACTATAAATAAGAAGCTATTATTATAGCCTTATTAAGCGCTTCTCTTTAAGGATTTATAAGGACTACTAGGTGTCTTATTATCCTATAATAAGGACTATAGTAAATTAGGTAGGGAGCAAAACTTAAATATATTTAAAATATATTAATAATAAGTTAGTAAATTATAGAATAGGCTTAACTATATATTAGCTATTAGAACTATAGCCTAATATCTACTACTAGGAAAAAATATTATTTTAGTTAGGTACTACTAGAGGTAGACTCTACATATCTATAAGGTCTTCTAACTAGGGAGATATTAAATCTTTCTAGTAGTCCTGCTTTATATTCTATAGTTAAGCTATAGTTAAGCTAGATAAAGAAGTATAGTAGGTATATTGTAACCTATTCCTAATATATTTCTAATATATTCTAGGCGTTAATTATCTATAAGGGCAAGGATCTTTATTTAAAATCCTATATAAAGTTACCTTCTAAGTAATTATACTAATAGATATAGTAGTAATACCTTTTTTTACTATTATTTCTTTTAGTATATATATATATATACCTCCTCCTCCCTTAATACTATCTAATAGTAATATTAAGGAAGTAGTAAAGGTGTTATAGCCTATACTTACTCTATAGCTTACGTAATATAAGTTATTTACAACCTATTATAAATATATTCCTAACTTATTATAGCCTAGTTCCTAAACTTAACCTAGCTCTAAACCTATCTCTAACTTAAAGGTTTCTATTCTATTAAAGAAATATATATTAGCTTTATAAATAAAGATAAAATCTTACGTATTATAAAGCGTAAAAAGCTTCTATAGTTCCTATTTAAGAGTAGCCTTAGAGGAGTATACTATAAGTAGAGGATAAAGTATTAGGATCCTAAAACTATATATAGTGTAAGAGAACAGGTTTAGAACATGTTGCTAACACGTTACTATAGGCGTATATATAGCAAATCTTTATATTAAGCTTAGGTAACTTAATTATTTACCTTTTTAAAGAGTAGGTATTAATTCTATTAGATTAAGACATATTCTAGATAGATATATTATATAAGAGGTTATATAGGGCATAGGTAGAGATTCTAATAGTAATCTTCTACCTATAGGAAAAGAAGCGTACGTATTAAGAATAGGTTTATAATATATTTCTAACACGTTATAGTTATTATACTTAGCTAAATTATTATAGATAAGGATATAACTAAGATGTATTAAGTTGCTATTACTAACTTTGTAACAATAAGGCAGAATTGCCTGCCTATTATTCCATGCCAAGTCAGGCCTAATAAAGGCCCGACTCACTAATGTATATAGAGAACAGCTCGCCTATAGTTAGGATAGGTATATTCTTCTTGTCCTTTTATACAAGACCTATAGGTGTAGGAATCTTATCCTTTTCTATACAGACGCGCACTCCTATATGCCTTTAAGTTATATAGGATACCTTTTAGATACCCTACCTACCTAAGTTGTTACATTATAAGAAGAATATTATCCTAGCTAGTAACAGCATTTAAGAATATCGCACTTATTATTATTTTAAGCTACTAATTTAGTTCTAGTAGCTACCTAACCCTGCAACTCTACAGTTAGAATAGCTATTAGAACTTCTAATAACCAAAGCCTATAGGTTTAGACTTCTAGACCTATATATAGTGCTAGATTACCTTTAGAAAAATCGCGTTAGATTGCGTTAAGGTAGAGACCTAGAGACTACTAAAAGCCTAGAGGAATTAGAGGCAAAGCTAATATCCTCCTACAACTAAACCCCCTAAAAGAAAAGAAAAGATTTATTATTCTTATTAACTACAAAATGTTAGATAAAGGCAAAGGAAGGGTATCTAGTTTAGCTACTTTTAAAAGCCTATTTACTAATAGAAAGAAATTAGATAAGGAGGACTTAATTAACAACGCCCTCCTAGAAGGACCCTCTTCCTATCTGTCTCTTAAGGTACCTTAGGCTCCTAGGAAATCTTAAAGTAACACCTCCCTTAAAGATAAATATATATTAACCCTATCTAAAAAGGAGAGGTTAGAAGAATAAGTTAAGTAACTTACTAATTAGTTGTATAACACCTCCCTCTATAAGGAGATATAGGGTACTACCTAACCTAGCTAGTCTTTAGCTTCTATATTAAACCCTATAGTATATACTATAAAAGCTAAGAGATAATCTAAAAAGACGCTAAATATCTCCACACTTAGTAATAGTACTAATCCTACTTTTAGATAATAGCAAGCATCTATTTAGGATAGGCTAGAGATTAACGCTAATTACTACCCCTCTTCTAGAGCTTAGATAGCGTTAGTCTAGGGACACTGCTTAGGACTAGCAAGAGAATACTTAGAGCCACGTTA